AAAATAAATACTCATAAACTTCTAGTATTTGGTTTTTAGGCTATGGAACAGCGTATCTTAGCACTGTCCCAGGAGAATCATCTACTGAAGTCTCGCTTGGAATCTCGCACGGCCGCCGAGAGTCTTTTGCAAACGACCCGTCCCGACTTTGCTGCTCTGCCGTCTCAGAGTAACACTGTGCTGCCATCGACGACCAAGGTCAGTCCTCTGGCCCTTCCTGATCGTGCTTCATCTTCTAGCTTCAGACCCTGTTCACACAGCAGCTACCGACTTCATCAGTCGGCCTACCGCTGGCCACTACTTCGCTGTCTTCCTTCCATTCCACAGTGCCCTCTCTTTCACTGCCGCAAGTTCCGCTGCTGTCGAGCACTTCGCAACTTCCGATCATGCAGCTCTGTCAACTGCAAGCCGCCATCCAACAGCAGGTTCGGTTCTTTCGTCTCGTACTGGGTGCCGGGAATGAAAAGCCGGTTTGGCATCAGCAGCAATAGCAGCTGTTCGAAACCGTGTATGGATGGCGGAATCGAGGTCATTCGGGCTGCATAAATCGAGCCCCGATGCTGCTGATGCTTGGGCTATTTCACGGCATTTCGTACAGCACGCCTTTCTTGCACTCTGATCGCGTCTGGAGCCGCGTCTGGGTATCTGCCAAGCATTGTTCGCCGCAAGTTTTTCTTTCCAGTATCGTGCCACACCGTCTCCGTCGGTGTTCTCAGTCGGTTCGGCCTTCCAACCTTTTCAAGCCCACAAGGAGTCTGTGATTATGAAAGCCGAACGCTTCAGTCCAGATTCGAGCAGCGATCGTGTCGAGCGTGTGATACAGAGAGGTGAGGCCATGCATGAGTTACTCGTACCGTGTTTGTGGGAGCTATCTGTGGGGCTTTCTCCTCAGCCAGTCAACCTTTATGAACTTAATTTTCAGTTCCTTCACCTCAGCAGCAACAGGAGAGAGCGCCCTCGCAGTCGTTGCTGGGGGCGCTGTTAGCTTCTCGTCGTACCTCTCCAGCTGTACCGCAGAGCCGGACGGAACATCATAGCCGTTTGGGCAGTCCTCCGCGGGTAGGTTTGAGGCTTCGATCGCCCTCTATGTTGGTTTCAAGTGCATATACAATAGTAAAAATCATGACACACAGCTTTGATATTAAAGCTTGGCAGAAACTACTTTGTGTGCTTATATACTATGTGATTTTCACTGTATCAGCTCTCCCCTTCCAAGTCTGACTGCGAATCGATTTCCTCGTCAGCATCGCTTTCACCCTCTCACTCAAGTGAAGATCACCCAGAGTCCTCAGCCATTAGAAGAGCTCTAGACGGCAACAGTTCCGATGACAAAAAGGTTCATTGAAGAAGAGTTACTTGCGCATAAGTTTTCAACCAGAAAAAAATGAACGGAAACTTTATGAATTTCTCAGGAGCAGTACATGGATCGACGGCGTCGCAACAACGAAGCAGCAAAGCGCTGTCGTGCCAATCGCCGGGCTGTTTTCGAGTACAGAAGTCGTCGAGTACAAGTATGCAGTTTGTATATTTATTTACCCAAGAGAACTCGATAACCTTGGCATTTAGTTGTTGGAGAATGAGAACGATCAGCTGAAGGAGGAGATTGCTAAGTTGAAGCGGGAGGTCGACCAGTTCAAATCGCTTTTGACCGCTCAGAACATCATGGATACCACCCAATAACACCTACTTCGATTCGTTCTTGCATGCGTACTGCACAGCTCTAGTAATCGTCTCGCCTAGTACAACTACCTTCTACTACTTCCTCCTCATAGTCAGTCTAGATTTATCGGTGGTTTTGCGCACTACTGTATTGTTACTGTAGGTCGCTAGAGCGCAAAGTTCGACTAGGTTCAGCATCTAGCCTTGCCCCAAATCCTGCTAATACCCATCCTCATCATACCTTAGCGTGAATAAATCCGTACCTACACACATCCAGGTAGTGCCGTGTGCCGCTGAGCCAATATTCTCTTACATTTTGATACCTTTGGTCCCATTGTTTCCCACTGCCAGTTTTTGATATGTGCAATTTATCATATTTATCCCTTCATTACTAATCAGCTTTACAGTGTTTCATTTGCAGTTGTTATAGTTCGATAAGAATTTTTACTGTGCTACAGGTCTTCTCTCGTTTTTCTGTCGACAACGACGCTCTTGTGCGGGCTCGTCTGCTTGGGCATGGGGGTTTTTACGCACAATTTTTTGCGTAAATAATCCATCGTAAAAGAAGATGACCTTGCTGCATGCTGCGCTCAAAGAAAATGCCACATTTACACAAAAAATCTCGAGGTCGATCGAGTGCATCGCGCGCGTCGACCGGCCATGTCTCGCTGAAGCGGATTTTTGGCGAACGTCGAAGTAAATGTCGGAGGGCCGCCGGTCAAACTGGATTCGTAATTATCGTTTTGCGCTCCCAGGAAGGTCCTAATGCTTGACCGAAAACTGGTGCCCCAGATAATGAAGAGGGCGTACTTTGTAGAATCCAAACTATGCGCTCAATGTTGAGCCTAATTGCACCTTTAATCAGTTCAAACTCTTCAAAGCGGGGACGGAACTGGCAACTTCTTTTTGTATTATAGTATCACATTTCATAGTAATTTGCTCATGGTTTTACGGAAATCGTAAAACGCTCAGAAGAAGAGTGAGCGAGAAGAATGGTATCGCTTACAACCAAAAATATCTTTCTCACTCCAACACCGCCATAGGTTTGCTAATCGCAGGATTAGCCACTTCGGTTTGAACTTTTCAGTGAAGAGGAAGTACGCTTTCTCCGCCAGTTATAGGTTTGATGACGTCTTCTCAGAGTTCGCGTATGATGAGCATCACTTTAGAAAGACCCTTTATAAATCAAATACTTCTATAATGCTTCTGCATCAGACATCTCTCACATTAGAAAATTAAAACAAGCGTAACTCGCGGAGGCATAGCGCGAGAAACCACACACTAGCGAGCACTGCGAGAAAGATTCGGCACTGACTCAAAGAATGTATTTAGCACGGTAAAGTTCCGAAGGAACTATGAGTCGAAAAAGTTATACTAGCATTCTAATTCGCGAAAATAAAAATAAATAAAATATATGCTCAAATGGACGCTGCCGACCCACGAAAATTCAATGGAATCCATAGTTTCACCTTTCTCAACTCTTTCTTCTAGAAGTAACGCGAATCATTTTTAACATACACAAAAATCCATCACAAAAATGGTTCAACTTTCCTCATTTCGATAAAAAGGGATATAGTCGAGCAGTATATGTATAGAAACGGTTCAAAAAAAAAGAGGTGAAATCAATGGTAGGAGGTAGAAGTTTGGAGTGCCTGTTGCGTTCAAACAAAAGTTCAC